TATATACACACAGAGGCATAGAGATTTGCAGTAATTAAATCAATCTAAAGAAACTCTCTCTCTATTTGAATCAAGTCCACCATGTGAAAATGAATTAATGCACAAGGTATAAATAAATACCAGTTAAATATGTATCTTTCTGTTGGGGAAGAAATGGCTGTTTGGTTTTTTTCCCCCCTTAGTAGTAGTTATGTGTTAAAATTTTTCTGCTGGAATAAAATATGGATTTTTATGAATGGTGTTAGAAATCAAATGAAAAACTCAACTGGCCTGCATGTATACTGTATTTAAAAGTCCTCTACTCCTGAATTGCTCTTTTATCCAGACAAGTCAAGTGATGGTACTCTGTTTTTCAATCACATATTCTTTCCTTAAAATCACAAGTCACCCTGCCCCGTCCAGAACATGAGGACAAACATACACACTACTTACGTTCCTCTGTAAGACCTTGACACTAAGAAATCCCTAAATTAAAACTGGCACAGTATTACAGGCTTAAAAATAAATTTAGGTGAAGCTACCTTCAGCACAAGGTAAAAATCCCTCTTGGAAAAAAAACTGCCCACACCGTAAACAGGAATAAGTGCTATAATATTTCTGAGTATCATGGTGCTGGGAATTCCATCTGTTAGCCTCTGATATTCACCATACATTGATTTTTATCATAAGTTGTTCTAAAATTAGAAAAGGCCGTGATCTGACAAGTATCCTTTCTGTGTAGTCCTAGCAGATGGAAGTCATGAGGTACTTTCTCAGCTTGAAATTGCTCCAAAACCTGAGGCACTAATCTGACATATTAAACCGAATTTATATAAAGTCTTGTGTCTTTACATCATGCAACATTGTTTATGGCACGCTGGGCAGTGACAGCTTAAGTTATGAAAATGCTGCATCACACAGCAGATCAGAGCTGGCTTTATAGCAGGTCTCGTGAATTTCTTCATCCAGAAAGAATAAATTTTGTGTGGGAGCATTCTGCTTAGCACCCCTGCAGAGCAATACATTAAAACTGGATTTTAGCATTTACCTCTTGCTCAGCTATAAATCAGGAATTAGAATTGATAATGGCAGTTATCCATCAACAGCAATGCAACTGCAGATGAGCAAGAGCAGTTTTATGGATAAAAGAAGTTCTCTTTTTATTATTATTAAAGAAAATCTATCCTCTTCTATTTCAAATGTTTCTAGGCTCTGAATAGAGAGTGATTAGATCCATGCAGGTCATCAGCATGGATAAGGAAGATGCATTTGAAGTAACGCCTCTCCAGACTGCAGAACGTTATTCTGATACTCTAGCAGTGGGCTTGAGCTCAGGTGCAGCAGTTCACATTGCAGACCCCTCTTGACAGAAGACCTGGAAGAGACGTCTACCACAGCCGGCAGGATTCTGCCCCTCGGTTCATCGTCGTATTTGTTGGGCAATTGAAAGCTTTACGAAACTCTTCAAAGTTGCTCATGGCACCGATAACTCTGCAAAAAGAAAAGTGATTGACATGCAGGTTGTCCTCTGTTAAACACTACAGGACCGCAAGTGTTTCTGCGTGTTCACTTCAGGTTGAATTTTCAGGCTTTCTATGTCATTTTTCCACAAATAAAACAAAAAAGTTCAGGAGAAGCACTCCCACATAAAGTTAATGTGAAGACAATGCTATTTTATTTGGTGCTTTGCGAATCATCTTACTTTGCTAGAAACTCAACCAAAACCAATTGCGTTTTGTGGGTACTAGGTCGTTTAGAACAATTTTCTAATCCGACCCTTGGCAGCAAAGGTGGGAGATCAGCGGCAGCCTTGCACGGTGGGATCCTTCCTCCGGCACCTGCCCAACCGCTGCAGTCCAGCAGGCAGGAGCACGTAAGCACACGCTGTGGTTGTGCTGGAAGTGGCTTGATTTAGCTCATGCCTTGTAACAACACCCGCTGCACACCCACCTACCCACGTACACACACGCCCGTGCACACACACGCTGGCTCCCTGGGACTTTGCAGCCTGAGGCTGGGGGCAGGCAGAGCCTTTCTTACCGGCCACCTCAGCCTTACACCTGTGAGCACCTCAACTCCTCTGATATTTTGGAAATACATTTTCTGAGGCTTCTGCCCTGACGAGCTCCCAAGCTCTCTTGCTTCCACCACAGACAGAGTGATACTGAAAGAGCAGCACATCCTGCCTCACACGAGCTAGACGATGCGTCTGCATCCCAAACTGGCACCTTCAGGCACAGGGGAAGAGCTCGCTGTTTGTATGCAGTTATCCTTGGCTCCTCCTTTCATGTTTATATTATTTCATGCAGTCAGAAATTATTATTTTACCATCGCTAGATTAGGATTGTGGTGTTTGGTGATTTTTCCTATGCTTTTAAGCGTCTTGGAATTTACTAACATGAAATTTGCAATAGTATTAAAGTAAACGTTTTCCCAAGGTAAAAGCAGAAAAGTATCTACTGAGATATTAATTGTATGCCTTTCCACCCTCTTTGTTATGCAGTGGGAAGGCATTTTTCTCCATTGCAGACAATCAGCTTCTCAGCATAGCTCAGCGTGGTACAAAACATTCTTATTACATTAATTAGACTTTCTGTGGGTAAGAAAATTTGCAGTCAGCTGGTGCAAAAATGTCTAAAGGTCAGTTTTGTTGGGTGAATTACAAAATGATGTTAGGCTTCAAATAAGATATACAGCTTTACTGTAAAAACATTGCAAATTCATATTCAGGGATTCAGGAACAGCAAGAGCTGGTCATGCAGAACTGCTGCTGAAGTTGTTGGGAGTTCTGCCTGCCATGCCAGGGATTTCACTCTGAAACAGGCATTCAAAAAAGGTGAAGACACCTGCTAATACAGAAAATCTGCCAATTAAAAATAAATAAAACCAGAATCTAGCCAGCAAAAGATCTTTATGTGTCCATGCATGTGACTTTTCTACCCATGGTTTGACATTGTCACACATTAACTGTGGAATCAGAGTGGGCTGTCTCGATTTCATCCCATTGAACTACAGCAGAGACACCTTCCCCTGAATGAGTCACCCTGGGCTCCCTTAACAGTCAATAGAAAGATGTACTTGCAGAGTATAAATAATCCAAATTTATTACTTACAGAAGATTATACATGTGTGCACGCATTTGTGTATGTATGTATTTCAAAATGTCTATTCTTTTTTGACTGTGAAGAGAACCTGGGGTGACTAGCTCAGATGCACACACTGATGCTCAGGATATGTGTTGCTCATTTCTATAATCTTTTATACTTACTTTTCATAATTACTTTAAAAAGGGCTGTTTGGGCTTTTTGGATAGCAAGAATTGTCAATGTTGAAACTAGCTGTACTGCTGTTATAATGGTCTTGGGATATAAATGAAGCAAAGTTGTGGGAAATAGATAATATAATTCGTTAGCCCAGTTGATGGGATTTACAAGAAGAGACAAGCATCACAGTTTCTCTTCAGGTCTGAAACAGCAGCCTATTCTGAATATCTCACATCAAAACTAAGAAAAAGTTTTGTCTGTATTTTCTAGACCCCAAATTCATCTAATCTCTGGAATTTTCTTCCTTAGCCCGATTCCTTCATGAGCTTTCCTCATGAATGCTCTAGACCCAGATTTCTGTGTATATTTTGTGATATGCACCATCTCATGGGACTGTAGCTATGTAACGAATATATAAATATATATATAGGTAAATCAATCTGAGGACTTTAAAAGGCAAGAGATGGTTATTTTACCAAAATCTTAACAAGTGTAAGAATTAGAAAAAAAATAGTGCTCTGTAGGCTGACGATCAGACTGATACTTCTGTCCTCATTGTCATGATGTATTTTCCATTGTTAAAAGGCATACAGATTTGCATACTGCACTAGTTTTACCCTAGCTAGCTGGTGTAACAGGTAGTGCAAAGGTACAGTAGCGCAGGTTTCAGTGCAGAGTATGGAAGTCTACCAAGACCAAGCATATACATCTGCAATGCTTATATTAAACTTGTGTCATCATGTTTCCAGTTCCATTATTTCTTAACCCATTCTGGTTATAAGTAGCCTAAGGTGTGTTATGCGTGCCATGTTTATATCTTCAGCTTTGATGCAGCTGTGTCAAGGGAATATGTCAGAGTACCTGTGAAGCAACCTCACACCTCTCCTGTGAAGGTAATGTAGCACTTGACTGAGGACAAACTCACAATTCTCAGGTAAGTAAATACAACTGACATGAATCCCAGCAGAAAACCACTTGCTCTTGGTCACACAAACTCTGTGGAGAAGCAGAGAAATAAACTCTGGCTTCCTAACTCTTATGAAGCCTTGAAACCTTCCTCCTTTTCCAGCCTTTCTTTCTTGAAGTTGAGGGGTGTTGGTGGTTAGAAGAGCCTGTGGGGGTCCTTTTGGGCAAGGAGACAGACATGCTGTTACGGCTGGACTACCACAGCTCCTTCAAGCAAAGTGTCTCTTGAAGGGCAACTCAAGAGTTTAATCTTGAACTGAACTTACCGGGCATGTTTTGCTTTGCATTGTCAATATAACTCAAGGTACTCACTTTAAAGCTTTTCATGAACTCAGGTAGATTAAATCAAGGACCCTCCTAATATTCATTGTTTTCTAAAGTAGAATTGCGTAGGAAAAAATAAAGTGATAGATTAAACATTATAGATACTCAGGGCATGATTATAGAACGTCACAGGGATCAGAATTGTGTTCTGGTTCAACTGCTTTTGAAGGTAGATGCAAGACCCTCATTTTTACAGAAGAGCATTTGTAATAGTGAAAGATAAGCTAATAGAAACAGTTCAATTTCAATCTAAGCCAAGAGCACAGTCCAATTTTGTATTTGCTCTTAAACCCCTCTTAACATGCTAAATTTCTGCACTTGTGTGCTGCAGTGATAGATTCTGTGTGTATACCAAGTAAATACATTATTTGCACTACCTGAACTGAGGAGGGCTGTGAGCTCCAATATATATTTGCTCTCTCGCAGATTCTGGTCTAAAGGAGTTGCATCTTACCTAATAAAAGATAAAAAGCAGAAATAGGCATGTTATCTGGGATGACTTTGGAAGTAAAGTAGAATGTAATGTTTCTGTCCTTAAGATGACTTACACAATGTACAAAATAGAAAGACACCATGAACTCCTGTTTTGTTTCACCTTTGCTAACTTGCAGTTTTCGTTGGTATATTCTCTTGTTTTTCAAATCCCTTACTGGATCCAGTCTTCATCCACTGTTATTCTCCACCCACTCATTCCCATCATCTAATCATAGTCACTTTAGTAGTTCTTTTTCTTGAGGTTCTCTATAACAGTGGCTTGCTTTTCAGCTTGTGCTGCAGCATCTGATGCTTAATGATTATCAATACTTCATGGTTTCAAAGCTATGTAATGTGTATAGAAGGTACACGTAATGATGCTTATCATCTCTAGAATGGCAGCTACATTACCTGGCACACTTGTTCTATGTTGGAATGTCAGTTTCTTTTGAAATTACACATTTTTTCAAGTTTCCATCAGTGGTCCCCAATTCACTATTCCTAATACAATACTTGACCCAGTTGTAGTGAGCACAAAACAGGGTAGGGAGAATATTTGCACAACTGAGTAATCCCTCTTATGGTGTACCCATCGCATGAAAAATCTCTTTTAAGCAGCCCCTGCCTTACCTAAGCCCCTGTGTTGAATATTTCCTATCGACAAAATCCTTTAGGCCAGACTGCCCATAGGACGTGTGTACTTCAGTGCAATTTTGTCTGGCTGGAGACAGCCCTGGCAGTTTGAATGAGTCTGTTGAGTGTCTTGAGCTCTGTGGAAGTAAGCTGAGTTCAAGGGTAGCTGGCATGCACTGCTCTCACTGTGCATGTACCTCCCCTCAGAAGGTCCACTGGATGTATGATTCCTGCAGTGGTCCTGTAAGACCCCAGAGCTTCCATATGGCGTCAAGGTTTTCCCAGGGGAAAAACGACACAGTGTAAAACTCAACTCAGCGTAAACAACCAAAGTGAAGTCTTTTCATTGGTGAATGTTGTCAAGCTTAACTGGCCATAGACCCATACACAGCTGCTACACTGGCTTTTGGCAGAGAAGTGATTTTCAGCCAGGGCTGGTTATAAAACAATATTGGTTGCATTGGGTCCCATTTCTTCAGTTTTAGATGATTCATTCCTTCAACTGGTGGGCAAAGTTTTATAGCCCAGCTCTTATTCCTTGTATAGGGAGTCTGTCCCAATTCTTTTAACCAAATAAATAATTTCTGATTCTCTCTCTTGTTCTCTGAATATCTCACATCCCCTATCAAAGTTTAACTAACTACAGCATATTCAGTGTACAGCAAAGAAAGATGGGGAAAAATAAACTAAGATTTTCTTCACTACTGCTTAGTTTCCCTGAACAACATGCTCAGTAAAGAATGGTGAAGATATACTTGCAACAGGAGTCTGTGGTGGAAGCAGTCAGAAACTGCTGCATATGGCAAGCACCAGAAAATTGGGAATCTAAAATGGAAAGAGGTTAAGGAGTCAATACATGCAAGAAGAGCCTTGCAGCAGAGGGAAGCAGTGAGAGGAAAGAAAGCTGCCATGACAACGCTGTGCAAAACCAAGAGTAATTTCAGCAGTTCTAGCACCATGGTTAGATGAGAACAAAGAGAGAAAGAGAAATGAAATAATAGTCCTGGGAGAAGTCTCTGCTGATACCCTGAAAAGTCTGGGTTTGGCTGGTGTTGAAACAAAGCAGTCTCATCTCTGCACTGTACGTTGTGCAGATTAATAGATGGGAACTTGAAACACATTTGTACTACTCACATGGGCATAACTCAGAAAGAAAAGCTGGTTGTGTGTGAACTCAAGGCCTGGCAGTAAAGGCTCTTCTTCTCCTCCCCTCTTTTCTGCAATCCATCTCCTGTATGCCTGGTAAGAAAGAGATACTGAGCACCTTTCGGCAACATGGAGCCTAACCACAGCTTTTTCTTTAAAATAATACTATGTTTCAGATATTTTTCATCTACTTACCCTGAAAGCCTCTCGCAAACCTCCATTATCTGCAATGTTCTCTGCCAAAGTCCTCTTGCCTTTCACCTGGCAGAATGAAAGATCATCAGTCATTTGACCCATTTCTGAACTTCCTTCTTGATCGAATTTAATGTAGGGACAGGACAAGGGGTAATGGCTTTAAACTGAATGAGGGTAGATTCAGATTCACTGTGAGGGTGGTGAGGCACTGGAACAGGTTGCCCAGAGCAGCTGTGGATGCCCCATCCCTGGCAGTGTTGAAGGCCAGGTTGGATGGGTTTTTCGGCAACTTGGTCTAGTGGAGGGTGTCCCTGCCCATGGCAGGGGGGGTGGAACTAGGTGATCTTTAAGGTCCCTTCCAACCCAAACCATTCTATGATTCTATGAATCAAGAAACAGGGGAAAAAATAGAATAACGCAAAAACAAGCTCAGCCAATTTCAACCATCATATGTCCAGTTAAAAAAACTGTTTCGATGTGAAAACTGTCAGTAAACAATTCTCCATGATGAGTTATCCTGGATCTGGTCCTAGATCTCTGTAGCACAAAATGTAGTAGATAAAATGCACTCAAGAATCCAGTCCCTAATCTTTGATCTGAGCATCAATAATTTTCCCCTGAAGACTGTTTTTCTGAGGTTACATGTGAGATCCTGTAGCCCCTTTCTTAAACTTTTATCTAAGGTTATATTTGTTTCTCTATATAACTCTTTATATATTACTGGGATGCTAAAATAACTTTTAAGTCATAACCTAAACCAGCATAATTAAAAATAACTGTCAGCGGCAGAATTGAAATTGATATTTGAATTGAATTCAGAGCTCTAAAAATATCTGCGAAGGAGTTGCACGTTGCTTTTCCCCAGTATTGATTCCAAGGGCAAGAGCAACAAGAATATATTGTGCGAAGCAGCGCTACCTAAACTTTCTGAAAAAGCCAGTCTCCTCGTATTACCAAGTGCAATATCATTATAAAGAAACCCTAATTTCTGCAAGTGCAGCATTATCTCTGATCACCCAGCCTACAAGGGTCTTGGTGTTATCAAACTGTATTTGTACGTAAGCAGTTTTACTCTCTACTATGCCTTGAATGAGCAAGGTAATTGAGCACAGTTTTGAGCAGAGCTCTGAAGGACAACGCTGTCCTGCAGATCCTCTGATGACAGGCTGTCCCATGCCGCAGGGATGAGTATAGGAGGGTTGGTGTCAGGACCCACCTTAGTTTCAGGATGGTAAAAGAGGGGAAAATGGGGGAGAAGAGATAAAAAGGACCTGGAGATACCTAGGTACATGTGCGCAGCCCCACCACTCAGTGGAGACGAGCACTCAGATTGGACTCAAGGCATTTTGCTTGATGCCTTGGGTCCAACGTTACGCCCAAGAGCGTAACAAAGGAGAAAAGGGAGCAGTGGAGGAAAGTGCACCCCTTTCCTGCCAGCCCTCCCTCCTCTCAGGAGGCTGGGGATGGAGGTGGAGGGAGGCATTTAGGAAAAAAGGTGCTGGGACACCAGCGAACACGCACGCACAACAGCTGCCTTTTTTTCTGGCCTACCTACTCATACATTTTTTCTTGCAGTGGGCTTGTGAAATAGACTGATTTAGAGCGTAAGATGAGAGTAACCTAGCAGTGGCACTTGGGCCATAGGGCATTTTAATAAGTGGAAGAAATCTTTCCGCTGATTTCAGGCAGCTCTGGGTCGGGTATCTGAGCCTACTGTGTGCAGACAGTTCGTGACAGGGCTCAGGGACCATGATAAGCCCTTTATTTGATCAGATGACTTTATTTGATTACTGCACTCTGAAGCTATTTCTATATCCACTTTTTCTTTCATTATGCTTCTTTTCTGGAGATATTTTTATTGCAAACTGGATGAGAAATGAGAAGAGTAAATAGGTTTCTTGATCCATGTAAAATATTCGTACAGGGGTAAAAATTCTGCAGAATGTACACATATTGATGTAAATGACAGGCAAAAAAAAACCTCATTGCGTGCATAGCTCTTCATACAGAAGCTATAAAATATGGCAGAAAAATATCAAGATTCTTCTTCTATCATCTAAAAAAGGGGTTTAGGTTATCCCACGGAAATAGGAGGAAAAAGCCTTACAAATGCCAAGGCTGTGGGTAACAGAATGTCTCCAGTAAGCCCATCCATGGACTTCAAAGGCAATAGCTGCATTGGAGGGGAAATTCAGATCTACCCCATCTCAAGAGACACCATAGAAAGTAAAGGAGATGGCCAAGCCAATGGCAGGAGCATGGGAAGAGCTTAGTCACACCCTTGGGGAAGGTTTTAATGACCTTCTTTCAGTGGCATTTTTGTATTGACAGTTTTTGTCCTACAGATATGCAGGAATGAGCCTGAGAATTTTTATTGCTAAATTAGCTTATATGAAGTACTTCAAGACTGAGTTGTTGGACTTCAGACTGGACTACGATATGGCCTTGTTATCTCTGAGACTAATACAAACAGCCTGGGGAAAGTGTTAAAATTATTCCTAAGCATTCAATGTGACCAACTATTCTTAAAAGGCAAAGAGGTAATTGTATTTCTGATTCTAAAATATAAGTAGAGGTGGTAGAATTGAGTGGGGGGTGGGGTATGTGTTTTATCCTGAAAATTAAGATTAAAATCATGTCCCAGCCAACATTACTGAATTTTAGCTATTGATTTCTGAAGGTCTGGAATTTATCCTTCATTTTGGACACTTACATAATGTGCACATTTTCAGGGAAGCCCATAGCTCTGATAGACGATGCAACAGAAACCATTCCCTTGCACTTCCTTTCTCAATCCTTTTCTATGAGCTACTGCTATCATACTCCCTTCATTTGAGATACAAATTGGGTCTGCGCGCACACGTGGAAGAAATAGCAAGAATTGAATCAGAAATAAAGTAGGGTTTATGCATCCGTTTTATAGCTGTAATAAATAACAGGTGGAATTGCTAAAGGAATCTATAAAACATGCTATTATATTCTTTTTAGAAAGAGTGGCTGCTCAGTTTTCATTATGGACCTCATTTTCAGAAGACACATAACATGCTCATAGTAATTAGACCAGCCCTGCTGAGTGGCTTCATCCTCTTTCTCCAATTCCAATACAATGTGTTGGGAAGAAGAGGTTTAACCCTGTCGCCAGGGTGTGGGCAGTGGTATTTGACTGGACTAATCAAATCTGACAGACAATTTTTATCACAATTATTCACTTCAAAAAATGATTAGTTGTAAGAAATGAAGTTGGTAGCCTAATATCCCAATATATTGGGATTTATAAAAAGATAACTTCAAAAAACAACCAAACCAAAAACCAAACTTCTAATGCACCACTGCTTTCAGTCACTGATGTTCCACATACATGTAAGCCAGCTCTCTTCCAGTAGTAATTGCTGTATTGATCAATCATGCATTTTGTTTTCTCTTTAAATTTTTCTTCAGAGTCTGTTGTCCACCAAGGGTCTAAATTTCCATTTTTGTCATATTTCCGACCTCAAAAAAGAAAGAAAGAAAACAATTTTTTTTTTTTTGTAGGAGAAAACCCCATACTTTTCCAGTTTTGGAATCTATCACCAGTGCAGAAATGAGAGGTGAATATACTCACCAAGTATGTATACAAAACGGGTAAGATCAGATGGCAAAATCTTGACCCCACTCAAGTCAATGGTGAAAAGCTGACATTCTATTTATTGTCATAATTTCCATTTTCAGAAAAAAATAGTAATGACTAATGAGTTCTATAGTACATTTTATAATTACATAGTATAAGAGGCATATGAGTTTTCTTGTAAGTATAATTACAAGTATTTTTCATCCTCAGCCCATATGTCTTTGACTCTGCAAACGTGATGATAACTAATTTATTATTAATTAATTATACGCTTGACCAGAAGAAAAATCCACTTCATGGGAACTTCTGAAGTTTCCATTTTTTGCATTGGAGCAAAACCAGAACATTTGAACCGTATTCATGGAAGCAAGGAGAATATATATGTATATCCCATTCCCTAGACTTATGGTTACAGCAATGGCTTGTGGAAGATTCAGCCTCAGGTGCCTGAACCACCTCATTTGTAGGAGAGTATCTAACCCTCAGTGTGTCTCCAGCCAGTCACAGAGGAACCTAAGATTTGCTCCCCTGGTTCCAGAAGCCAAGTTTATCAAATCAAACTATCCACTCAAATACACGGATGTACTTGCTACACCATAACCCGTATGATAGGGAAGCAGTAGGGCAGATGGGAGTTTGTGAAGAAACATTTCCCCGTTCAGGAGTGTTTAACTATGCAAAATGTGGCAGAGCACTGCCAACAGGATACAAGGTTTTCCTTTTATTTTTTAAAAGGTATTCGAAGCAACGCAACATAAGCAACCTAACTTTAGTTATGCAGTGAGCTAGAAGCCTGCTTTTCTTTAAGCTTCCTATATTTTCAGTGGAAAGAGATTTCTCTAGACAGTGAGTCAGACCAGGATATCAAGTCAGACAACCAGAATTGCTCCCTGAAGGAGGAGGTTTATATTCTCTATCCCCCTCTCTCTCTGGAGCTCGATTTTAAAAAGCACTTCACTGAGATAGCCAAAGTTAGATGATGGTAATGCCCCACTCCACTCAGTTTTTCAGGACAGTTAGTTTGATGGTTT